GCGCTGCAGGGGGGGTGCGTAGGTCTGCGGGTGCTGGAAGGCTGCTTTGGGGGTGCGTTGCGGAGGGGGTCGGGGTTTACACACCCCAAGAGCGGGGAGGGGGCGTGCAGCTCCCGGCAAGACCCCCGGGGCAGTGCCAGGGGTGCTGGGAGGGAGGCTCCCGATCACACGGGGGGGACCTTGCGGGTGCCCCCATCTGCATCCCACAGCAGACCATGGTCTCGCAGGTGGATGCAGGCCGGAGTTTGGCCTCCCTGTCCCCCACCCCCCTGCTGTTTCTCCTTCAATTTGTCTTAAAACCACACGTTTTTCCCAAGAAACCCATTCTGGCTTAATCTGGGGTGCGATGGGGTGCCCCTCGCATCGCTGCGCCCCCCCACCTTCACATCAATGGGGCCCCTCTCTGAGGTCCCAATTAAGGGACCAAGCCGGCGTCGCGCCCATCGGTGTCTTGAGTGGTTTTTGGGGTCAGCGGCTGGCGCTTGGCGTGAGATTTTCCTCCAAAAGGAGCCAAAAGACCTTGCAAGGGGAAAATCACGTTTTGGTGGATTTTACACCTTTTTTTCAAGGGAGGAAACCTCGAGGACACGCTTGAGCCGGCTCAGGTCACCCTTCGCAATGCAGGATGTGCCAACACATTATCCGGGTGCATCCATGCACTGAACCCCAGGGGTTTTTTTTGGGGATGGACGGTTGCTTTCCTTATGAGCATTTAATTGTGCAACGGTGCTTGTCAGCGCTGACGGCTCCTGAGATTTGCTGCCCTTGCCCCGTTGCTTGTGCAAGGCCGGTCTTGTGCTTCATGACTTCTCTTTTTTGCAGATTTCTGGAAATATCTGAGTTCCCGTAACAGTAAAGTGGGGTAGGACGAGCCGTAACATCCCCGACCAGATGAAACAGCGTCTTTTTTACACAACCTGCTGAGTTTCTTAATATTAGTGAGCATTACTTTGCTTGGTGATGCAGGATTTTGTTGGGTGGTTGGCTTTCAGCAACCTCCATCCAAAATCTGTCCCTTTGTCAAATATAATTATGAATTTTCTTGTTAATGGGCTGGAAATCAGAGCGGTGGGTTCCTGCCCGAGGTGCTGGCACAGGGTTGATGCTCTGCAGAGGTGCTGCGTGGTATTAACTTTAACTTCAGTATTTAATCTGATTTAAGAAAAAGGAAGGGATTTCAATTAGTTGGACATGCAGAAGGTGGCAAAACCCCAAAAGATTTAATTTGCTGCCTAAAAAGACAGAAAACTATATACAGTGTGGAGATGGCATTGCTGGGAGCCGGCAGCAATGCTCCACGTTGGTCCCTGCGTTGTTGTAACACTGGTTTTTATTTTATTTTTTTAATGTTTTTAAACCTTAAACTGGATGGAAGCACCCATTTTTTTCCTGCCCAAGCCTTGTGGTTCAGTTTGAAGCGGGTTTGCAAGGATCTAACTTCATCCTGCAAATGCAGCTGCTGCCGGATGCCAGACACGCACTTGGCTTCATCTTGCCAAAAAACACATGGTTTTGAGCAAAATCCACCAAAGTCAGGACTCTGTCATACCCAGCAGCTGCAGGGCCGTATCCTGCACCTCACTGATACCAAACTCTCCAAGTGAGGGGTTTGGACCATCCTGGAGCTTCCCTCATCTATCATCATCTTAATTGCTAGTTAGGGGAGGAAAACTTGCAGAAGCCCTTGGGATGGGTGTGGAGGGACAGGACAGCCGGAGCGATGCCGTGGGGGATTTGCATGGTACAGACAGAGGATTTCTGCGCTTGGGGACGCACCCCTATAGCGGGGATGTGCCCCTATAGCGGGGCTGCTCGGCAAGGATGCACCCTGCGTGCTTGCTGTTCGGGTGGCTGCTGCTGAAAGCAGGAGCCGGAGCGTGATGCCCTCGCCCAAAACTGTTGGCGGAGCTTATGTACAACCTACAGCCAGAGCTGCAGCCAGCAATGCAAATTCCCATGTGCCAAAAGCCTGCTGACACGATTGCAAACCTTGAAGTCATCCCCGCATCAGCGGGGCAACTTGGGGTGGGAAGGGGGAAACCCCTTTGCCAGCGTAGGCCAGGACACGGAAATTCGGCATATTGTTCCTACGGACATGTACTCAAGGGCGTGGAATTGTGGCAAATAACCACTTTTAAAATTGGCAGCCTTTGCAGAGCCTCCAGCTCGTTTAAATGTAATTAAAATTGCCTTCGTCTTGCAAACGGGCACGGCTGGATGGGTCTGCCCTGGTCAAGGCAGCTGAATCCCCCAGCCCTGCTCTTCCCTTGGTTTGAGAGCATCTTCATCACATTTAAAACAGCATCGTAGCAAAGAGGTTGGGGACGTCATCCCCCTTTGGGGGGCTTTTTTCTCTGCCAGTATTTAGGGTTTGGTCCTAGCCCCGGCTAAGGGTGTGAGGTTTAGGGGTGGATGCTGGCGTTGCTACCTGCTGCTCCCTGGGGACAGAGGAGTCTTGATGGGGTCATTAAGCTGGATGTTAGGTGTTTTTGCTGGAGACCAAACCTAGATGAGATGGGGAATACGTTGCTGTTTAAGCCTAACGTGTTGTGTCGCTGATACAGGCATCTCTTTCCAGCTTAAACCGAGGTGCAGAAGACATCAGCCAAGCCTCTGTTAATGCACTTTTCCCTTGTGTCTCCCTGTTCAGGCTAAAGGACCTCGAGGTGGCCAAGCTGGGCGACTCTGATGTCCACGTCAAAATGTTGGCAGCCCCCATCAATCCTGCCGACATTAATATGATCCAGGGTAATGCTCTGGCTGCATCTTTGTTGCATATTAATTCTCCTTGGGATGTCTCAGAGGGTTTGGAGGTGGCTTCTGGCATGGGGAGGTCTGGGGTATGATGGGCTCCACAGCTCACCTCCAGTTTCCCGGCAGGGACCTACGCCATCCTCTCCCCGCTGCCGGCCGTGGGAGGCAATGAAGGTGTTGGGGAAGTGCTGGAGGTTGGGCAGCATGTGGCAGCTCTGAAACCTGGGGACTGGGTCATCCCAGCGGGCTCCGGACTCGGTGAGTGCATCCCTGGGCATTCTCGGAGCCACAGCACCACCGGATCCTCACTCACCAGTGAGGTCCTCCTCTGCATCCCCTCACTTGCAAAGCATCTTTCCAGGGGATTTTGGGGATGCTCAAGCCTGCCGGGAGCTGCACAAGCTCCATGGTGGAGCAGAGAGCAAACCCATGGTCATGCCCCCAGGTGAACTGGCTCTTTGAGCACTGGCTTGTGGATTTTGGGGGTCCTGGAGCAAAACTGCTCCTCTCCCAAGCACCGTCTTTGCTAGGTGTGGGTAGAGCTGTGTGTATCTCCCACTTACAGCCATTACATCTAATCAGATGTGACTTAAAATTAAAAAAAGCTCCATTAGAGACTGTTCCGGGCAAGGGAAGCAGCAGTTGGAACCCATTTAGTAGCGTATTAGCCTAATTGTAAATATAATGGGCTGGATTGTCTCAGACAAGAAGCGTCGGGGTGACTGCTGGAGCTGCACAAAGGCATCGTTTCTTGCCTCCGTCTAAGTTTTATTCTTCATGCCATGTGTTTTTAATATTTTTTTTTTAAAGTGAGCCCAGTACATGATCCTCAGCCACAGCCAGTGATGCTCCTGATCCTCTGCGGATGCAGCAGGGCTCCGGAGAAGGATGAGAGTCCCCAGGGAAGGGGCTCTGGTGCACGGGACACGTGCAGAGCAAAGCTCTGGAGCGCTTGCAAGAGGGGCGGTGGCGATGCCATCGCTTATGCTGAACTTGAGTTTAGAAATAACCCACTTGCCATAGCATAGACCCTTTATGGGTCTTCTGTGCCCACAAAGCATCGCAGCAATCTGTGCTTCTCTGGAAACAACCGCCTTTTGTCACGTCTACTTAGAGCTTCTTTAAAGACCCAGGATGAAGCATTTAACCTGTGCAAGGTCATGGTTACATCGCATTACATTTTCTCCTTCATAGTGCTCTGATGGGAAAGTGTGGGAATTTATTCTCCAACAAATGTCTCTTGTGCTTCTCCAGAATGCCAATGGCCAGGAAAAATGTCGCTTCTGGTTTAGTGTAACAGCTTGTTCTTTGCCTATTTCCTCTTAAAAGGCTTTTTTGCTTAATGGGAGAAGGAAAGCTGTCTAGTTAAGATCCAAATGTGATATTTTTAAACATTAAAAAAACAGTAAATGGATGATAGGAGGTTAAATCGGATATAAATATAGAGGGAGTAAATCTAACTACATTGGCTTTGATTATGTGGACTCATCCACGGGATGGGGAGTTTTTCCATAAGCTCTGCATGCTCCCTGTACCCAGGGAGCCCCTGTGCCCTTATCCCTCTGGAAACGATTAGACCTTGCTGGGTGACAGATCTCAGTGGGCAGCAGGGGGTCCATCCCCTGCCTCTCGCAGTACTTTGCTCATACCCAAGCAGGAGAATGTTTCATAATGCACCCTCCAGGATTTGGAGGGTGCACGGTGTGGCCATGCTGCCACAACTGGCGTTAAGGCCATGGTGTGAGTGAAGGTCTCATGTTTTCCTTTCCTTGCCCACCTTCCTGCCACTCTGCCCGCGCTGTCTGCGATGCTGCTGGTACCCAGGGACGTGGCGGACAGAGGGGGTGTTCCCCGAGGAGATGCTGCTGAAGGTACCCAGCGACATCCCGGTGCCGTGCGCTGCCACCCTGAGCGTCAACCCCTGCACGGCGTACCGCATGCTGACCGACTTCGAGACCCTGGTGCCAGGTACGGCTTTGCTGGGCAGAAGGAAATCCGGGTCGATTTGCTGTTTGTTTCTGTAGTGAAAATCTGGAAACTTGTATTTGTATCCAGGTGATTCCGTCATCCAGAACGCTGCCAACAGCGGCGTGGGCCAGGCTGTTATCCAGATCGCCAGAGCCTTCGGCATCAAGACCATCAATGTGGTGAGGGACAGGTGAGTCCCTGGGAGGGGAGAAGGTCACCTGTGGGGAGGAGCCTTAGCATGGGCTGGAGGCTGGCTCAGGCAAGTCTGGGGGCAGGATCTGGTTGTCCTGCCCATCCAATTTAGGATTTTTGCCCGTGGTTCAGCCTGCACCACTTTTGCTCCTCCAAGGTGTCCTCTAGCCTCTGCCCTGTTGTCCCCGAGTTACGTCCCGAGCAGGAGAGAGGAGAAGGTGACACTTTGCTTTCTGGCTCATTGGGTTCTTGTTTCTTCTTTTCTCCCCCCAGACCTGATCTCCCAAAGCTGGTGGAGAGGCTGATGGCCTTGGGCGCAGACCACGTCATCACGGAGGAGATGCTGAGAAAGCCAGAGATGAAAGATATATTTAAGGTACCTCAATGCTGATCCCATTGGAGAGACCATCTAGGGCTGGCCCTGCGGTTCAGTGCTGCGGGGAAGGGTATGGGGATGGTGGGAAGGGCAAATCTCTCTCTGGATGAGGATTTAGCCCCACAAGTTGGGGGTTTCTGATGCTACCGCAAGGGCCACATGATAGATTTTAACTCTGTGACTCTTAGCTGCCCCAAGTCAATGTTGAGGTGAAGGCAATTGTGTCCTCAAGAACCGCGGTCCCATCCTCAAAAGGAGCCTTAAAATTTGGGAACCTTCTTAATAAACTCTTGCAGAACGTCCCGAAGCCCCGGCTCGCGCTGAACTGCGTCGGAGGCAAAAGCACTACGGAGATGCTGCGGCATCTGCAGTAAGTTTGGCTGGGTGGGAGCTTGGCACAGGCTCGGGGACAGCAGCTGGTATCGGGGGGGTCCTGCTCCAGAGCCCCCCCAAGCACAAGAAGTGGCCAAAGATGTTGTTAGCTGACGTTAGTAAGGGGAAGTGAGTGGAGAAGTGGTTTTGGCAAGTAGCAGTGACTGGAAGTTAGCCCATCATCACCGCGTGCCTCAAACGCTGTGGTGGCTGGAGGCAGCTGAGGTCCCGTTCCGAAGGTTCACCAGGTCCTGGCCAGGTATGGCTGCTGTATTTAGCTGCAAATTCAGCTCAGGGTGTGTGGGAGCAGGAGGGGAGCTCTGGGAAGCGGGATCTGAGAGAGAACTGGGGGAGCTCTGGTGCGAGAACAGCCCCGTCGGTGGGTTTGGATACGGCAGAGGGAGAGGTTGCAAGGTCGAAGCTGCACGTTGGGGACCAGCAACCGAATAGCCCCTTCCCCTTCCAGGCCTAAAGGGACCATGGTCACCTACGGGGGGATGGCAAAGCAGCCCGTGATGGTGCCTGTGGTAAGTACTGGAGATGCTCTTCATTTCCCTTGGGGTGTGTCCCCTGCTGCTGATGTCCCTGTCCCCTTGGCACCGCAGGAGCTCAGCTCTCGCCTGCCTGCAGGGAGAGGGTTCATCTTCTGCCCATCAGCTGCTTGGGTGTCAAATTCAGAGCCCCCAACCTTCTGATGGGGTCCGTTAAGGGACAAGCTGCTTTGCATCCCAGCACGAGTCTCTTGGCTTTATTTATGGAGGATTTGGGTCGCTGTGAAATCCCAGCAGGGAAACGGCACCGCAGATGCCAGGCATCAAACCCACCCCGACTCCGCACCTCAGAGTCACATCTCCGCATCCCGCTGTGCCTGACTCAAACTGAGAGGGCTGACAAGGCGCGAGGGTCCTCACTGCCACCTTGAGGGGACAGGTCTCACCAGGGTGCCCGGCTCCCTCTCTCCACAGAGCGCGTTCATCTTCCGGGACGTGCGGCTCCGCGGCTTCTGGATGACCCAGTGGAAGAAGGACCATGCGCAGGGTGAGGGATGGCACCGGCACGGTGGGTTGGCATGGGGGTGGGTGCTACTTATGTCATGAGTGCTGATAGTCCTCAGCACAGCTAAAACACAGGCGGTGGGTGCTGTGGCTCGGGGAGGGCCCCTGCCAGGAGTCTTGCCCTATCACATGTGCCCAAGCAGGGAGCACCTTGCACCCTGGTCTCCCTGGGACCCTGTGTAGCTTCGGCGGGTGTTTGCCTGTGGGTAGGCGGTGGCTCTAGCAGGGTGCAGAACATGTGGAGATGGGAGCTCCCTCCTTCCCTTGCAGACCAGGAAAGCCTGGCCAGCATGATGGATGCCTTGTGCCAACTCATCCGGGAGGGGCGGCTCGCGGCGCCGGCCTGCACTGAGGTCCCGCTCCAAGACTACAAGGCAGCGCTGGAAGCTGCCATGAAGCCCTTCACATCCTCGAAGCAGATCCTCCTCCTCTGACCTGCAGCTCAGGGGCAGCAGCGGGCTGAGCC